GTTTATAGAGCAAAAACCCATTGCGTTAGAATGTAAGCAGTTTGATAGAAACCTTTGAGTGCCCGGAAGTAAATCAAATGCAAGATCTGGAATAGAGCAGCGCCATAAATCTGTGCTGTCAAATGCTGAATAATGGCAATAAAATCAGACTCTTTCAGTGAAACACTCTAAACTCTATGTGTAGTTTGTAAAAACAATTTCACAGCGGCGTGGTTTGAGTCACTGCGAGCTACAGGTTGAACAGGGCTAATAAACACTTCCCCTCCTCCAGTGATTTATTCGGAAAGCAGAACTTTTTTTCCATGCAAACCCACTGGGAGGTGGAGGTGTAAATAATTCAGCTGTAAGTATGAAAACCCCAGAAACTTCCTGCAGTGTAATCAAATTAAATCAAGCTGAATGCTCCCATAATTCATTACAGTGCACCGTGGGCTTGTCTGGGTGTCTCTTCTGTTGAGCATGTGTAGACTCTCCATTCATATTTGTTAGGTTTTTTTTTCTTTTTTTGCATGCATGTGTATGTGTATGTGCATGCATGTATGTGTGTGAATGTGTATAATTTATTCTGCACACATCCATGAAATCTTCATGGCTCTGGCATGCTCCTCTCGTCGGCTTCATGCCCTACTAAACTCAAGACTCTTCACCGTGTGTGTCCTGCTGTGCGTGTGTGTGCACTCTGGGCTTTATTTGTGTTTCATGTGCGTACACGCATGGTGCGCGCCCTTTAATGTCCCCCTGTGTCTGAACCGTCGAGTGTTTCCACGCATGACTACATCTGTGAGAGAACCTCTTCTTTATCTTCACTCACACGCGCCGACTCGGGGAGTCTCTGCGGACGGCGTATACAATAGACATGATAATTACATGTGAAGTGTTGCCCCTGTGCCTTCCAGCTGATTACGACGGCACCACAAGTTGCCGCGGTGGTATTTTCAAGGTCACGTACACAAAGCAGTTTAAAGTAGTTCACTTGTGAAGCCTGACAGATGCAGAACATTTACCGGGTGATTAGCCTTTCTAGGATTTGCTCTTATTTAAAAGACAAAGAGGCGAATGCATTAATTCAAATATGTCCATGCATGACTTGTCGGTCGCATGCAATCTGCACGGACAAGTTAACATGCAAAATGAGGAACTACATGACTCCCAGTTGGTCCCATAATGTACATTATTGGACTCACTTTAGCCTAAGATTGCATCCAAAATAACCAAAGATCTCTGAATTGTGTTGCTATACATGTGAAACTTCTTCCTTTAAAGTCAAATGAAGGTCAGGTGAAGATGTTGGCATGAGCAACTCAAGTTATGCATCGTCGGTATTCTGCCCCCTGAAGTGAAACTTGGCCATGTGTGCACGTATGGAGTGTGTGAATGTGTGTGTCCGTGTGTGTGTTTGTGTGCCTCCCCTGGCTGGAATTGGCTCCAATTACCTATTTGATGTAGAAGGTCACCAGCTAGATGTCCGTTGTGTCTGCCAATTCGCTCTCCGCTCTCACAATCGACATATGTTTTTGTGGGGAAAAAACACACACAAACACACAAGAGTGAGTATCGACTGCAGATATGTAAATGTTTGTCTGCTTTCATAACCAAGAGTTTGCATGCAGGAGGTACCTGGGCACACGATTCTAAAAATTTATACCCATGTTTTGCAGTTGTGTGTTGCTGTATGTAAACACATGTGTGTGTGTGACGGCGTTGCAACATGTGGTCTGAGTGTCCAGCAGTGTGAGTCCATTCACAGTACTTAGAATACTCCAGACATAATATGCTCATTTCATTTAGCCCCAAGTGTCTCTTGAATTATTGACCGAGCTGATGGACACACTTAGCCAGAGGTTGTGGGTTTTTGTGTGTGTGTGTGTTTGTTTGTATTTAATCACAGCAGCCACGTATGTCTGAGTCTTCTCTAGCAACCTTTTATAGTCAGACAAAGCACCAAAGCCCTGTCAGAGGAACTGTTTTCACATTTTATTTCCACTATTTCACCGTTACTTTTTGTGATTTCTGCTTTGTCTATACTTTAGTGTGTTAATCCTTTCAGTCATATGAAGTGTTTATCCATTACTTTGAATTATTTAAACAGGTTATCCTTGTCTTTTAGCTATCAAAACTTCATGTAATATTTGAAATAGTTATCCGCTACTTTTAGCTAGCTTTTTTCAACAGTTTGTCAATTACGTTTACGTTTCTCCCTTACTTTTAGCCATCAAAACCGTGTATATATTACTTCTAGATAACTATTGAAAGTGCTAAACTTAAGTTTAGTTATTTAAAGTGTATGTCCAGCTCTTGCATTCAAACAGTTTATCCATTAATTATATCGACTACATACATTTGTTTGTTGATTTTTCAGCTAACTTATCGAGCAGTTAATTTATTACTTTTGGGTTATTAAAACTGTTTAGCAATTACTTCAAGTTAAACATTCAAACCATTTAGCCTTTATCTTTAGCTGTTTTGAAAGTTTATTTTTCCTTTTAGCTAACTAAGTGTCTATCCATTCATTTTAGCTAATAACTAGTGTTTTAAACTAAGATACTATTACAATTTTTAACAGCTACTATAGCTTTTTAAAATGTGTTAGCCTCACTTTTAGCTAACTATTGAAACCATTTGCCTTTACTTATATGTATTTATCTAATATTTCAAGCTATTTAAAGTGTATGCTCATTTCTTTCAATTATTTAAACAGTCTATCCATTACTTTTAGCTACTGAAAACATGTGTTTAGTCATTTTGAGCTAACTGTTTAAACTGTTTATTCAGACTTCTAGCTCGTAAAATGGATAAGCAATTATATGAAGCTAAATACTTAAACTAGTCACCCTTTATCTTTAGCTGTTTTAACAGTTTATCCATGTTGTTTTGATATTCAAAGTTTATTTCTTTTGGCTAATTGTATTTAGTTTGTATCTCTTACTTTGAGCAAACATTTTTAGCAAGTTTATCCATTAAATTTAGCGATTAAAACTGTTTAGCAATTATGTCAAGCTAAATATTCTGACTTTTTAATCATTATCTTTAGCCATTTTGACTTTCTTCTTCTTTCTTTTTTGTTAGATATTTAAAATATATGTAAATTTCTTTTAGCTAACTAGTCTAAGTGTTTATCCATTACCTTTAGTTATCAAATGTTTATCCATTTTATGCTAACTATAAAGCTATTAGATCAATCAAAATTGTCGAGCTAACTATGTATCTGTTGATTTTAGCTTTTTCAGCTGTTCATCCATTACTTTCAGCAAACTTTGTGACAGTTTTTCCTTCACTTTTGGTGCATTGTTTTGACATCTCTGCTTGCTTTCTGTTTAGTTTTTACAGCAAACAGGTTGTTTTTTTCCCTTCCAAGTTTAGTAAAGCTCCTGCAGTAGAACCTGCTGGGTTAATGCTGGCTGGGAATCACTGATCTATAGCTGCAATAGAGAATATTTAAGAAATTACAGAAAGATACTGACATGGAGAGATCAACAGGTACAGTCGGGTCAAAGGTCAATTAAAATGTATGATCACTGCAGGTGGTCTCGATAAACTCTATATGAATGAACTGTTTCATCTCAGTTACGCAAGTTCAACCTCTCACAGTATTTATATTTGGTGCTTTTAATAGTCAAATGTTTGATAGGCCCTTTAAATGACTTCAGGCGTGGAGCCATTATTGTTGCACACATAACAAGCTACAATCAATACCCATATCTCTACAGTTAGGTCAGATCAGTTCAGACAACACATGTCGGTTGCGATCGCAGTCCGACACACTGAGGATGAGAAGATAGAACCTGACTGACTTGCGGAGGCCCAACTTCAAAACTCTTGGTGTTGTTGGGCTGTTTTTAAGGGTCACGACGTGTTCAGCGGTAACTCTGTAGTAGTGAAATGATAAAACTGTGAATAATTAATATACAGTAAGTATCTTGGGTTGAGTGCTTAGCCTGAAAACATTAACCTTCTTAACATAAATAAAACTGTGCCTTGGAGGGAAATACTACTCAGTGTACTAATGCAGCTTTTCAGATCAGCTGATCACATTAAGATATCTATGATTACAGAGTTTTCCTTGAGAGCTGGTTTTCTTTTGACACCAATATCTTTGCCCCCACTGGCAATTTTTTGCTCATGTTTGCCTTTTAAACAAATTAGACCGGATGATGTCTGGTTAAATTGTGCAGAAGAGCGTGGACATCACAGCGTCGCCTGTGCGTAAAAATTAAAAAAAAATAAAAAAAAACAGTGTAATAAATTTATTAGCACGTTCTATCGGGCGTGGCAGTCTTGTCTGCCGGGGGGGCTGTAGCCGTAGTCTGCTCCGGGGCTGCTGGATGCTCCATGATGGATGAGGAGTGACAGATCGGGGTTAGCCGCCAGGGGAGTCCATTTTCTTCCAGCGCACGGTCCTACCCGAGGAGAAAAAAGCGAAGGAGGGGAGACATTGGACGCAGGAGGAGGGAAGGGGACGAGATACAGAGAGAGAAGCGACCGATTTCCACCCCTCCTATTTCACTCTCTCTCTCTCTCTCTCTCTCCTCTCTACTCCTGTGCATCACAGCCTACTGGGCTTTACCCGGACTGCACCGCATTGACGCTGCTGCTGCTGCTGCTGCTGCTGCCGACCCAACCCAATGAACTAACGCACCAACACACACGCAGGATCGGATTTTCTTTTTTTCTTTTGCAAACTGGATGCTGTGCAGATCGGATACTATTCCCCGTCTTTGCATGCTTCTCTCTGGATCCGCTGTCCTGCTCGGTAATGTCAAGACTTTGAAAAAGGGGAGTGACGGAGAGGAAGGGTTTTTTTGGGGGGGATCATTGCAGCTGCAGCGGTGCACAAGGAGACGCTGGGATATCTCCTACAAGTTTCCAGAGCTCACGAATGGAGCGATTTCATTGAATCCCTGCGCTCTCCCTCTCTGAGATCTTTCCAACATGGGTGTTGACTGAATGGAAGAGTATCCCCCCGCGCTGCCACAGAGGTCTGGGGATGCACTGGTGAGGATTTAAAAAATAAATTGCGCTCGATCGTTTTCTTTTTTTTTTCTTGGATCATGCAGATTCTGCCGCCCAGGACGTTATTTGTGTTACTAGCCCACGCACATGTGTTGTTATCTCTGAGAAATTATGGCGAAGTTCGAACTAAAGCGGACAGCAACAGCAGCGCGTACTCCGGCAGGACTTTCCACGGGTCACTGCGAGAGAGTCACCAAAACAAAGCCCGGGACCGTGCGCTCTTGCCCGGGTACGCCACAGGTGCGTCCTCGGCGGAGCTCCAGGCGATTATCAGAGGGACCCTTAACTCCACTCACCCCTGGAAGAGGGTAATTGCAGGAGAAATGAGGCGGGTTGGACACAACAAGCGCGAATATAATAGGACTGTGACACCCATGGAGGATCCCAACGCCGTCTCTCATTGGGACCCGACGCGCCACCATAATAAGAGGATAAAGTTGAATGGCGCTCTCAGTAGTACGGGGACGCCAGCAGGTGGACACTACAATGCGGCTAAGCCCTCGTCAATGGGCCGGGGAGACGGAGGAGGAGGAGGGGGGACAGAGGAGGGCGACCGGCACAAGAGAGGCACAAAAGACGAGCAGAAGAAAGCCTGGAAGAGGGGGAGAAACCGGCCGAACAAAAGCTCCGTGGTTTTGGCTCAGCCTCACGAGTCGCCGTGGGAACCCATCCCCAAACCGGTGGCGCTCACTTCCACCGACATGCCCTTTGACCTCTTCACCAGGAGGCCCGAGTTCTTCACGTTCAGAGAGGAGAACCCGTGGGACGCCACCCCGATCACGCCTCCCAGCTCGCAGGACTTCGGGGACGAGATCAAGAACCCCTTCTACCCGGTGACGAGCGAGACTTACGGCGCGTACGCGATCACGTGCGTCTCCGGGGTGATTTTCCTGGTGGGGATCGCGGGCAACATCGCCATCCTGTGCATCGTGTGCCAGAACTACTACATGAAGAGCATCTCCAACTCTCTGCTGGCGAATCTGGCCGTGTGGGATTTTGTGCTCATCTTCTTCTGCCTGCCCATGGTGGTGTTCCACGAACTCACCAAGTCTTGGCTGCTGGGAGAATTCACCTGCAAAGTGGTGCCCTATGTGGAGGTAATTCTACACTGTTTGTTGCCCTGCATGCCTATCTGCAGTGATAATAGATGGCGAAAGGGCTCAATCAGTATCATCTGCCTTGTCTGAATGTGATCACACCTCTCAAGTGTCAACAGGAATCATATGTTAGACTTGACAAGAAGCGTTTACACTCCTGTTGCCTGCATATGTGGAGATTTCAGTTTTAAAACCCTGACAGGCCTGAAAGTGCACAAGATGTCACCTCAGCCGGTAACAAGGGAACAGTGTTTGTCACTCGTACACCTGCTGCAACCAGAGTCTCACCTTGCCCTCCAGGCATAAGACACACACACACACACACACACAGATACACACCAGGATGTATGACAGTATCCCATTCACTCTGACTTACACAGCTGCTTTCATGACACTTGCAACTGATAAAAAAAAGAAGCTGCAGGTAATATTTGCACACATGCATGCACACCCCTTTTCTGTTTGTCTCTCACACATCCATGTTGCAGCAGAGGGATGCTAAAACACCAAACCTTCCCTTTGTGCGCTCTGCTGCAATTACACCAGTGTCAGATTAACTGGCGAGGTCTTTTGTGTAGAACGGGTTTCTAGCTCAGAGGTCTTAAAGCTTGTTTTGCGAGGCTGGTGTTGCAACCTCTCTATCTCGAGGTGGGATAAAGAGAGTGGATGACAAATGTGTTAAAAGATGTTGACAGCAAATGACGTTGTGGGTAGTGTTTGAGATTTTTGATGTTGTTTCGTGCTGCCAAAGAAGGAAGACTAGATTGTCAGGTGAGAGAGAGAGAGTCTGACCTTATCCAGCTTGCATATCCAGGCATTGAGCCAGAACAGGTGACTGGAAGTGAACTTGGCCTCCGCCCTGCAGACGCTACAGAAGCTGCAAACCGGGAGGGCTGACAAATGCTGGAGTGATAATACGAGCACGTGAACTGGATGCTGTTATTGCCTTCATGAAGAGTTTGCATTTTGATTTGATTTCTCATTCAAGATTATGAGCTTTGATTTAAAATACATTCAAAGCCTCCTTCTGCTTGTTGATTAAACCCCTAAAAACTCATCTCTGTCTATTAAAGTTACACATTTAGAAGATGTTTTTCATAAAAATCCCTTTTTACCTTTAAATAGCTTGGACATAATGCTCCACTTTTGCTCCTTCTAGAGTGTGCAGGTTTCTCTCCACCCACACGTCTTCACTTGTTGCAGCTCAAGCACACCAGCTCACCTCAAACACTGTGAAAACTACTCTATGCTGCACAATGGGAAGTTATAATATTGGTTTAATTTAGCCATAACTGGAAACTGATTTTGAAAAAGAATTATCCAAGTTAACAAGATTGGTCCCTTTTGTTTGTTTTGTATGAACCTCTGGAAATTTGAATTTGTGGTTTTGTTATTGGAGTTTAACCCTATTCAGGACTTTTGGGGTCTTTTGGACCAAAAATACACCAACTTATCAGAAAATGTATTTAACATAGTATAAAAGTCTGTAAAAAACGCCAACAAATATTTTGCACAGATTCTTTCTTGGGGTCCAGTGGACCCTGAAAGACCTTCTACGTATGACAACATGAAAGTCCTGAATAGGGTTAAAGGTGGAAATGCCCAGCCTTGGCATTGACTGATTATTTCACTCATGGTTTGTCTTCCAGCATAGAAAAAAAACACCATATGGACAAGTTAACAAGCTGAAAAACTTGATTGTTACCAGACAGCGTCTTTCAAAAAAACATCTCCATAAGCAGACGCAGATCAATTTCTAGAGCTGTGTGGGAGAAGCTTGTCATTTTAGTGTGAAATAGACTTTTATATCCACAACCAAACAATGCTTTTCTCTGGTCTTTTGAAATGCAGGCATGCAGCCTCTTGGGTAAAGAATGATGCCACAGACACGACAGCTATATAGAAATAGAAACTTGGGGTCGGGACCTGCCAGCGAGCTCAGGGAGATGCAGCTTGAGTGAATATTCCTTTTGTTTGTTTGTTGGAGTGAAACTTATAGAAAGGCCCACTGAATGTTTCATACAATTGTTTGCAGCAGTCTACTATTCCCCATCCTTAATTAGAAGAGATTACATTTTGCATTGCACCTCCCTCATAGGTCACATAGACAATATACGGTATAATAATGGGTTTTCATTTGCTGTAGCCGTGCTATTGTTGTTGCAAACACCTTGCGAGTCTGCGTGCTTTAATTATTGGGGGATCAGAGAGAAACAGGCCTCCTCCCTGTGTTATTGCATACGAGCTACCCGAGGACCACAGGATATTATTTAATAACCTGACTAACACACTTCCAGGCCACAGACCAGTTGGCTATTTTTAATCCAGAGTGCTGTCTCTGTGTGTTTACCGTTCCATGCGAGGATGCATTTTATAGTACATATCTATCAGGACATGTGCACAGGGTCCCGTCTGTGTTCACACTGCTTTCTGCTGTGTGTCTACGCGTGTGCTCATGCATGTGTCAAAACAGGCCGTGAGTAATGCAGCCGGGGGGCTCCACGCTCCCTGTGGAACATTCAGGGAAACACACACACACACATGGTTCACCCTATGGAGCGACTTCGTTCCCCACTTAACCCAAATTGAGTCACAGGGGACATTAACATTTGAAATAAAGACACACATACTCAGTCACACACACACACACACGACAGACAGACATGAGAACCCAACTTCAGGTGTGTGCGTGAGCTCAAAGAGAAGCCTCCCATGGTGCTGCCTTCAGTAAACCTTGTTTTATTCAGTGTTTAGTGGAGTGTGGAATTCTCCAAACCTCAAAGAGAAAGCAATTTTTTGGTGCGAGATGTGAGCAAACACAGCGGGGAAATTGTAAGAATGCTGCACAAAATAAAAATGTAGGCGAGTGCCAGCCTGCATTATTTCAGATACGCTCCCCGTTTCATGGTGCCGTTAACTTTCAGACGACCCCTCCTGGCAGCGATACACAGAGCGGCAAATTCAGGCAAAACTAATGGGTAATAATTGGGTTTTTGCACCTGGCAGTTGATGAGAGTAAAAAAAACTTGAAACCAGTCTAAAATAACAAATAAGCAGCGCAGTAAGCATTTCAGAAGCCAGAGGGGGAAATGTGTCATTTGTCAAGGTTCATTCAAAACTATGCTGCTGTATCACAGTGATTTTAAAAACTTGTTGTCTCATTAACCCCGAATAAAGAGATGCTTATGAGTTGTTATCTGAAAAAGCAATTACATGATTTGAGATCTAACAGAAGTAATAATTGTTTGTGAATCTTTGCCAAGCAATAGAGCATTACTTTTTCTTTTTTTTTTCTTTACACAGAACACAGTTGTTTAGAAGATTATAATGGTAATGCTACAAAGTGAGACATCTGATGTGTTAATATATATAGAAAATGTAGATTTAGTTGTATGTGTATGTGAACAAAGTCAAAACCTGCATTCACAGTCGTTTAGTATCTGCTAACAGCCTAATGATCACTCCTATAAGTCGACAGATATGGCTGCGTTCACACTTCTACAGCTAATTGGCAACCGTTGTCGTGGTACATATATATATATAGCAGTCTCTAAAGATGCATTCTTGCTAATGTTAGACTTTCATTTCCAATGTGAATGTAGCCATAATGTATGTGCTGTGTGATTTGAGCCTTTAAGGTTTGTTCTGATTGATAGTGTATCTGCAAAAATATGTTGTTTTTTATCCGATAATAGAGTACTAGGTCCCATATTTTGCTCCTTTTCAGCAAATAATGAAAGTCCAACATGTTCCCAGAATGTGTCTTTAAGTTTTTATCTAAAAAGTACGAGTGAGACCAGAACTTTGCAGCACTTTGAACATTCCCTCTGATCGACCATTTTGCATGGACATGTTAAATTCTCAACACATCTGTTGCTTTTTTTTATCAGTACTTTAGCAGCAGTAGAGCAGCAGCTAGAAAATGGCTCTGAAGTGGCTGTAAACATGTAGTCTTGATGGGCGTTTCAATCAGTATATTGTACTATTATATGTTCTTCTGTTTGTAAGCAGAAACAGTAAAGATATGTCAAAGAGAGCTGCTCTATCGTGAATTCAGCTGTGTTACAATAACGCATATGTGAGCACAGAGAGCAGGAGAGAAGCAAACAGATTTAAACACTTGCATAGTTAATTTTTAACTGAAGCCAAGCAGGTGGCATGAAAACAGGGCCAGCCAAGTCACCCAGTCCTCGTTTATCGGTTTCAGATGGATCCTAAAGTTTCTTACTGAAAGTCTCTCAGCTTTACAATTTCCACAAAGCTCTGACCTGTGGGCATGCGATCCAAACTAATAATAGCATTAGCCACATTAGCTAGATAACACGCTAACACTAAGGATGTCCCTATTGTTGTTGGGACATTGTCGTCAATAATCAAAGTAGTCCTCTAGGTCTCAAATGCTGGGAGTGCATGAAGACTCTTGTGTTCACTCTTGCATCCAGCAGCAGAACATTTAGCGTGCTTTGCTCGTGGATGAGGCATTTTTAGCGGATAAAGCTCTAGAAAGTAAACCAGTTGGATTGTAAAGCAGCTGCTGTTTTAGAATGGCTCACTTCACAAGCAGCGGGCAGTGAGGCGGCAGGAATATGCAGACTATTGGTTCATTAGTTAGAACGTAGGAGTTCAGTAAGATTCTGGCGGGCCTGTGAAGCTGGGAGGCTATCGAGTTGTCATGGGACTTGAGGAACGGCAGAAGTAAACATCTTGCTTTTACTTTAAACCTCTCAGTTTATAATAACTACAAAACACAATAAAAATGGATTTTCACTACAAAGGATCTTTCAGTGTTTTATATCAACGCTTGCTGAGCGAGGCTACAAGAGTGTAATGAAATGGCTGAACCTCCAAGTAAGATTTTATTTAAATTGTCTTGTTATAATCAGTTTATAACAATCTATAGGGTCAATATCCTCCAGCTTGTGCGTCATACATCTGGCCTCCACTGTGTGTGTGCTGTACAATGCCCTGCAGTCAGTAGCTGTAGGCTGTCTCTGCTATGG